TTATATGTATGTACCGTGATAGGCTGCCACCTGTGCAATAAGTCCATCCATGAAATTTCCTTGCTACTAAATATTCCACGGTCAACTGTTAGTGGTATTATAACAAAGTGGAAGCAACTGGGAACAACAGCAACTCAGCCATGAAGTGCTAGGCCACATAAAATGACAGAGCGGGGTCAGTGCATGCTGAAGTTCACAGTGCGCAGAAGTCGCCAACTGTCTGCAGAGTCAATAGCTAAAGACTTTGTGTGGCCTTCGGATTAGAGCAACAGTGCGCAGAGAGCTTCATGGAATTGGTTTCCATGGCCGAGCAGCTGCATCCAAGCCTTATATCACCAAGTGCAATGCAAAGCATCAGATGCAGTGGAGTAAAGCACGCTGCCACTGGACTCTAGAGCAGTGGAGACGTGTTCTCTGAAGTGATGAATTATGCTTCTCTGTCTGGCGATCCAATTCACGTGTCTGGGTTTGGAGGTTGCCAGGAGAACGGTACTTGCCTGACTGCATTGTGCCAAGTGTAGTTTGGTGGAGGGAGGATTATGGTGTGGAGTTGTTTTTCAGGGGTTGGGCTTGGCCCCTTAGTTCAAGTGAAGGGAACTCTTAAGGCGTCAGCATACCAAGACATTTTGGACAATTTCATGCTCCCAACTTTGAGGGAACAGTTTGGGGATGACCCCTTCCCTTTCCAACATGACTGCGCACCAGTGCACAAAGCAAGGTCCATAAAGACATGGATGAGCGAGTTTGGAGTGGAGGAACTTGACTGGCCTGCCTCAACCCGATAGAACACCTTTGGGATGAATTAGAGTGGAGACTGTGAGCCAGGCCTTCTTGTCTGACATCAGTGCCTGACCTCACAAATGTGCTTCTGGAAGAATGGTCAAACATAGAGATGAGCGAATCGAACTTGGCGAAGTGGAATTCGTTTCGAATATTAGGAAAAATTTGATTCGCACCGAATCCGAATATTAGCAAACTTCGGATGCGCGAATCGAATTTTTTCCCGATCGGCCGATTTTCATCCCTTCTACAGCCGGCAAAAAGTGTCCCTGCAGAGAGCTCCGCTATTTCTGACAGTTCTCTGACAGTTCCTTCACATTTACAGCGGTTGAAACATTGTATCTATTTGTTTCCATTTAGGATACAGATGTTTTTATTCGGAAACAAATAGATACAATGTTTCAACCGCTGTAAATGTGAAGGAACTGTCAGAGAACTGTCAGAAATAGCGGAGCTCTCTGCAGATACACTTTTTGCTGTACTGGAATTCTTCTTCTTTTCATTCTTCTTCTTCTTTTCATTCTTCTTTTCTTTTCATTCTTCTTCTTTTCTTTTCATTCTTCTTCTTCTTTTCATTCTTCTTTTCATTCTTCTTCTTCTTTTCATTCTTCTTCTTCTTCTTTTCATTCTTCTTTTCATTCTTTCATTCTTCTTTTCATTCTTCTTTTCATTCTTCTTTTCATTCTTCTTCTCATTCTTCTTTTCATTCTTCTTCTTCTTCTTTTCATTCTTCTTCTTCTTCTTTTCATTCTTCTTATTCTTCTTTTCATTCTTCTTTTCATTCTTCTTCTTCTTTTCATTCTTCTTTTCATTCTTCCTCTTCTTCTTTTCATTCTTCTTCTTCTTCTTTTCATTCTTCTTTTCATTCTTCTCTTCTTTTCATTCTTCTTTTCATTCTTCTTCTTCTTCTTTTCATTCTTCTTCTTCTTCTTTTCATTCTTCTTCTTCTTATTTTCATTCTTCTTTTCATTCTTCTTCTTCTTCTTTTCATTCTTCTTCTTCTTCTTTTCATTCTTCTTTTCATTCTTCTTCTTCTTCTTTTCATTCTTCTTCTTCTTCTTTTCTTCTTTTTTCATTCTTCTTCTCATTCTTCTTTTCATTCTTCTTCTTCTTCTTTTCATTCTTCTTCTTCTTTTCATTCTTCTTCTTCTTCTTCTTTTCATTCTTCTTCTTCTTTTTCATTCTTCTTTTCATTCTTCTTTTTCATTCTTCTTCTTCTTCTTTTCATTCTTCTTCTTCTTCTTTTCATTCTTCTTTTCATTCTTCTTCTTCTTCTTTTCATTCTGCTTCTTCTTCTTTTCATTCTTCTTTTCATTCTTCTCATTCTTCTTTTCATTCTTCTTTTCATTCTTCTTCTCATTCTTCTTTTCATTCTTCTTCTTCTTCTTTTCATTCTTCTTCTTCTTCTTCTTCTTCTTCTTCTTCTTTTCTTCTTCTTCTTCTTCTTTTCTTCTTCTTTTCATTCTTTCTTTTCATTCTTCTTCATTCTTCTTTTCATTCTTCTTCTTCTTCTTTTCATTCTTCTTTTCATTCTTCTTCTTCTTTTCATTTTCATTCTTCTTCTTTTCATTCTTCTTTTCATTCTTCTTCTTCTTCTTTTCATTCTTCTTCATTCTTCTTTTCATTCTTCTTCATTCTTCTTTTCATTCTTCTTCTCATTCTTCTTTTCATTCTTCTTCTTCTTCTTTTCATTCTTCTTCTTCTTCTTCTTTTCATTCTTCTTCTTTTCATTCTTCTTCTCATTCTTCTTTTCATTTTCATTCTTCTTTTCATTCTTCTTCTTCTTCTTTTCATTCTTCATTTCTTCTTTTTCATTCTTCTTCATTCTTCTTTTCATTCTTCTTTTCATTCTTCTTCTTCTTCTTTTCATTCTTCTTTTCATTCTTCTTCTTCTTCTTTTCATTCTTCTTCTTTTCTTCTTCTTCTTCTTCTTCTTCTTCGTCGTGCCCCGTGACTGCCCAAATGAGTGAAGTGTGCGGTGATTCTAAGATCGACGGCACTCATCTGCATGTCATACTGACTGACAGTATTATTTCTCTTCCCCAGCAGACTCCAAGGGCATTTAAATTAAAGGTACAGTGTTCTGCACTAATATAAAGGCTCTCTGAAGCCTAGAAACCCTTTTAATAAGTTAAATTCGCAGCGAATAAATTCGCATCGAATCGAATTTCTTCCGCAAATTCGGCGAATCAGCGAATCGAATCTTTGAATAATTCGCTCATCTCTAGTCAAACATTTCCATAGACACCCTCCTAAACCTTGTGGACATCCTTCCCAGAAGAGTTGAAGCTGTTATAGCTGCAAAGGGTGGGCCAACTCAATATTGAACCCTATGGACTAAGACTGGGATGCTATTAAAGTTCATATGCGTGTAAAGGCAGGCATCCCATTACTTTTGCCAGTATGGTGTATTTTGGTTTTCAAGGGATTTGTTTAGAAGATCATAGTACATAAACACACACGTGTGTGTGTGTCTGTGTGTCTGTGTGTGTGTATATGTGTATATTTGAAGTTGCTAGGTCTATGTTACAAAAAAATGGAGCAACAATTCCATTTTCTTGCTTCATTTACATTTGATGGATGGTCTTTGCTCCAGTTTTTGTAAGTCAACTATTTTAATATTAAATGATAAACTCACCTTTTTTACAAAAAATAATAAATGCACGTTTGCAGGTAAAAAAAAATGTGCATTTATTATTTTCTGTTTCTGGAGCCTCTAAAGCATTGCACCAGCAATCATCAGATTGCTGGTGCCATGCAGGTCTCCTGACCTGTCAGTATATCTGCGTGTCCATGCATCCCATATGGGCAAATAAATACTAATATTTGGTCATTTATAAACGGCCTCCCGGCACCCTGCTTGTGCGCACTCCCTGGGAGCGCGCAGCACCACAATCCCGGTGTCCTCCGGACACAGTGGATCACCGATCGTCGGACGGGACCTCTGTATGAGGTCCCGATCATGTGATCACTGATTGGCCAATCAGTGATCACATGCAGAGTAGTAAGCAAGATGTCACTTCTGTCATCATTGCTTACTACGTGTGAAATCTGTGAATGATCACAGAGGTCACATGGTACAAGGCTATTCACAACAGCCTTGTACCATGTGACAAGCTGTGACCAATCACAGCTCACTCAGTAGTTCTCAATGGCTGCAAGAATGCAGCCAGAGAGAAGGAGAAATGATTGCTTTTATATCCTTTATGGGTGTAAAAGCAATCAGTGTAAAAAAAAAAAATCTTCATCACCCCCCACAAGTAGTACAGTGTCACCATAGTGACACTGTACTGCTAGGATGACAGTATGTAAAAAATAAATTTAAAAAAAAAAATGTAAAAAACATTTTTAAAAAATTATAATTTTTGGTTATAAACTAATTTGGGTTATTTTTTTTACTACGAATATAACGAAATAAATTTTGGCCAAGATTTATGATGAAATACTATTTATTTGCAAAATTTTTATAAGAAAAACACTTTTTTAAAAATTTTTGGACATTTTAATTTACATAGCAAAAAAAATAAAAATCCCAGTGGTGAATAAATACCACCAAAATAAAGCTATATGTGTCGCAAAAAAATGCTAAAAAATTCATATGGGTACAGTGTTGCATGACTGCGCAATTGTCATTCAAGGTGTGACAGCGCTGAAAACTGAAAATTGGCCTGGACAGGAAGGGGGTAAAAGTGTCCGTACAGGAAGTGGTTAAAACTGATTCATAATGATCTCATCTGAATCTGACAATGGTGACTGTGTCCCCCTTTCCACATTCTGCAAAGCTAAAAGTTCCTGAATAAATGCTCCCATCTCTACACCGATCTATACAAAATATGTCAGAACACAGCATAGACTGAAGGCAGCATTTCTCAGTGAAAGACTTCGGATCTAGTAGTTGCTTCCATAAAGTTTTTTTTTTTCCTCTAGCAGCTGTACCCAAAATATTCAAATCGACCTTTCCTTTTACATTATGACCTTTGCGTCAGTTTACTAAAGTACCACTAGAGGGTAGTCTAATCACATGCTTACAGAATTGAAATCTCCACACTGAGAAATTGGTAGAATAGTTTAAGCTTTAATCATAACAAACAAACAAAAAAAAAATACTTTATCGAATTAGAGCCTAAGACAGGATTTGGAATGAAATGGTGGCCATGTACTTTTTGAAGTACACTTGAAAATGTATCTTGAAATAAAAGACAATATAAAAGAGAGGACATTTAAAAGCATTTGCGGTGCACAATGGAGGGGCCGGCTTCATCATATTCTGGTTTGCTGATCCACATCTGCTGGAAGGTAGATAAGGAAGCCAGGATGGACCCACCAATCCAGACTGAGTATTTGCGTTCGGGGGGAGCGATGATCTAATGGGAAGATGGAAAGTGAGGTAGTTACTATACCTAATTCCTACTATTTGTAGGTACTTTTTAGCAGAGTATATTAATAGAACAAAATATATGACCTTAAAAGTAAAAGATTTACACATATGCAAGTAGGTTTTATTAATCATATATCTGAGGTGAGCAGAACATATTTAAAATGTACAGCAGTATGTGCTGAGATGACTTTCTATATTTTGAATATGAAAGTACATTTGTTTACTTTAAGAAGTAAAATTTCATCAATAGCCCAAAGTAAGTTGTGCAGTAACCTTTAGCAACAAAATGACACTTTGAAACTAGAGAATCTGATTTATGATTGGTTTTTGAGTTCATGACTTCTCCTTTACTTATATTTTTATGAACTGTTTTTTTTTTTTTTGCATGATACTTTTTTGGCATTGGGGTAGGGAAAGGGGAAATCTTAAGAGCGGGAAATCCTGCTATGTATAGAAAGCTAGCTATCTAAAAATTTCACTAATCGTGCTCCCATTTCCAGTCATCAGGGACCACTAGTGGGTTGTATGGTTTGTAGACTTCAAAAGTGAGAGCACGGTTGTGTTCATTAGTAACATTCTAGACGGCCTTCCATGCTTCTTTACCTTTGATTCTATGTCTATGCTATTGGTCCATTAGAATTAGTGTTGGAAGCTATGGCCTTTGGTGTTCATTCACACTCAATGCATTTTTCTATATCTCTGAAAATGTGTAGTAGGTCACTACGACGATTATGAAAACCCTTCACAAGGTTAACATTTCATAGATTGCCAGATTATCTTACCTTGATTTTCATGGTGCTGGGGGCCAAAGCAGTGATTTCTTTTTGCATTCTGTCAGCGATGCCAGGGTACATGGTGGTACCTCCTGACAATACATTGTTGGCATAGAGATCCTTCCTGATATCAATGTCACATTTCATGATGCTGTTGTAGGTGGTTTCATGGATGCCAGCAGATTCCATTCCTATGTAATACAAAGGAGTTCATAATTTAATACACATTGTGAGGGTGAACAATTGTGAAAGGGTAACAGTCCCACAATACCTACTAAGAATCACTAATCTTTTTTTTTTATAGAGGTGGAAACCTTTAACATGCAAGGTGAGGTGTCTGCATTCAAGAAACTGGTCAAATAATCTGCAGAACTATATATGGTTTGCACGTTCTCTACTACAAAAGGTATTTACTATATTCCTTTACCTAATTTGCTTTGTATTAATTATGACCTACTATATATAGATGTCCTTAAAATGTCACTAAACCTACATCGTAAAAAACTATCAATAAATGCTGTATTACATGCTGTTTATACTCTTCAGTCACTATGGGATTTGTTTTCTGTACTCTGCAAAAAAAACACTGGTTGATCTCGCTGTTCTCTATCTCCCCTTTCTGTCCATGTCCCCAATGCAGCTGGGGATTTTGCAGAGCACTGTTGGCAGCTTGTGCACATGCTCAGTTTTCAGTTAATTTCTGTGCTCTGCATTTTTCTCCCTGATCACATCTGAGCAGCCCATGTGACTATAGAGTCACACATGTGGGTATGTACACATTGATAAATGACAGTCCTCTCCCTCCATCCTCCTTCTCTATGCCCACTAACCAGCTAAACACAATGGAGGTTGGATATTACATGTTGATTGATGGAGGCTTCACCTCCCAGATATTGTAGGACACAGGCTGAAGGGGTGTGACACAGCCTGTGACTGACAGAAATCTGCCCACACCATGCTATTGCCAAAAAATAATAAAGATTTTATTTCAAATATATATTTGTATGATGATTTAAAACAGTGCATTGATATTAATTATTTATTTTTACTCTGTATCCCAAATTCTGTTTTTTTTTTAAACATTTTTGTTTTGAACATGTGACCAGCAGCAGAGGACTAGAAGCTCCTCCTGCCACTGTTTCCCTACAGACAGGATGGGAAGTAGCTGGGTCAAGTGACAACTCTATATTGATTAGGAAAAAGGTTCTTAAATGGTTTTTTACTTAAAATAATTACAGTGCCATCATCCATATTCAGAAAGAGAAGAGATAATGTAAAATAAACAGTGTGTGTTTAGTATCACTTTAGGCCATGGTCAATGATACAGCAGTCAAGGCAAATCCCTTTCTGTCAGCCTACCAATAAAAGATGGCTGGAAGAGGGTCTCAGGGCAGCGGAATCGCTCATTGCCAATGGTGATGACCTGACCGTCCGGAAGTTCATAGCTCTTTTCAAGGGAGGAAGAAGAGGCAGCAGTAGCCATTTCATTTTCAAAGTCCAGAGCCACGTAGCAGAGCTTCTCTTTAATGTCACGGACAATTTCTCTTTCCGCTGTAGGCAAGGGAAAACTCAGTGATTATCGCCTTGTCTCAGTACAGCAGGTAAAACTTTAGCTAGTTTGTGTTCATGGATCAAGAATCTTACCAGTAGTTACAAAGGAATAGCCGCGCTCAGTCAAGATCTTCATGAGGTAGTCTGTTAGGTCACGGCCAGCCAGATCAAGACGCATGATGGCATGAGGGAGGGCATAACCTTCATAGATTGGTACATTGTGGGTGACACCATCACCAGAGTCAAGTACGATACCTTTGGATAAAGAATAATTGGTCAAACAACTATTGCCAACCGAAAGACACTGTAAATATTCTACACTACTGGTTGTTCTCAAACTTCAGCAAGAACCCCAATGACAATTACAGTTTGTGTTATATGCTGGTGAAAACTGTTCTCCATTATTACCAGCATCTGAATCTGGTAACTGAATCATAGAGAGGAAGGAGAAATAAGCAACTGCATCATGATTGTTTTGGACAGTAGACTAAGCAGCATGCCCTAGGAAAATACACATGTGGCTTATCCTATATATTTACCAGTTGTACGGCCTGAAGCATAAAGGGATAGCACCGCCTGGATAGCCACATACATTGCTGGTACGTTGAAAGTTTCAAACATAATCTGCAAGGAGAGTAGAAGGTGTTAGTGATATTATTTCTGCTACTTATTCACACTTCCTGAATTAAACATAATCTACACTCTTCCTATGGTATATTACAAAGAAAGCAAATATTTGTGGAAACGTTACAAATTGGATTTACTTGTATCAAGTTGATAAATTAAATACCATGATGTGAGCTGCCTTGAAACAGCTTGATCGCTATATTGTGGTTATCTGCTTGGTTATGATAGTGCAGGCCATACTCTATGTGGATTTGGCTGGTTCCCCATGAACCAGTTAAAAATTGTGATGTGAGTGGCCCTGTAGCCCCTCCCCCTTATCCAACCTCCTTTGATTAAACTCATAATATAACACAGTACAAATAATAATGCAAAATATAATAAATTATAATATACAAGAGTCCAAGAAAAATCCCAAATAAAGTCCAGTGTTCCAAACAAAGTGATACAAAAAGTGAAGGAAAAAACTATATAATACATTTTCCAGCATGCTCACATCAATGGTGAATCATTTCTCCCACACCCACCAGATAAAGTGGGACACTGGACTTTATTTGGGATTTTTCTTGGACTTATATATTATAATTTATTTTTATTTTGCATTATTATTTGCGCTGTGTTATATTATGAGTTTTGTTGTTTTGTCATTTTTGAACAGCAGCATTTCTTTATTGATTGTTATTTCTTTGGCACAAGGTTTCAGTTTATTATCTTTTGATTAAAGACTGAAGGCGCTGGAGAGAACTGTTTTGGCCAACTAGCAGCTACATCCAATCAGATGCATCCACTGTTCGGGTGTCCTGACAGCTGTCAAAGTATTATAGGCACTAGGCACATCAGGGAATTAATCTATCTGTGCTGTATAGCAGGTAACTGTTAGTTTTCTAACAGTGTATGTCCAGCTTAACTAGCTTGCCAAATGAGCTGTCAAGGGGCCCTCTGAATAGCCAATTATCTATTCTTTGTCTCACTGTACTTGTGCGGATAGTACTTTGGCGTATTGTTGAGTCATGCCGGAAACAGCCAAAGTCTGTGAATAATGTAATACCTGGGTCATTTTTTCTCTGTTTGCTTTGGGATTCAGTGGAGCCTCTGTGAGAAGGGTTGGGTGTTCCTCTGGAGCCACACGCAGTTCATTGTAGAAACTGTGATGCCAGATCTAAGGAGAAAAAGAAATATATACATTTTCAGTTACAGTGTTCTATGTTCAAATATAACAATTACAACGGCTTAGTGTTGTCTTTCATTAGTTTTAGTCTAAACTGGAAATCTAATTAGCAAGATTCAGTTTATTGTTCATGACTGTACTTCATACCAAATGAAAGCCAAGAAACAACCACCCTTCATAAAGTCCAATACAGCCAGGGGCGGACTGACCATTCAAGCACTAAGGCACTGCCTGAGGGCCCGGGGTCAGTAGGGGGCCCCATGAAATGCCTCTGGTACCTTTTTTATAGGTTTTTTTGGTGTGCTTTGAATGTGGGTAAGGACACAGGGGCCCCATGGTCCCCTATTGCCCGGGGGCCCCATGAGTTATCAGTCCGCCCCTGAATACAGCCCATGTAAGATACTGATATTTTCTATATTAGACCATTTTTGCACGTCCAAACCTCACAGCCTGCTTTGATTTAGCTAGAAGTAGTTCCGCAAATTCAGCTGGATAGGTAAGATTAAAGATGTTTCCTCAGTCATTCAAACAGCTTCCTGATATCCAACTGCAGGTAACACTTGGATCAGTGCTGGAACATCTTCAACATTACAAAAGGCTGTTCACTTCAATGGGACTAATAAGTACTAGTTATATTATGACCTGAATCTAATAATGCTAGGTACACACTGGAAGTTATTTTTGTTCAACCCAGCGAGCTAAACGAAAAAAAAAAACCTCTCCATAGTGACACATCCAATGTTCGTGCGGCATTTTTACAACTGAGCTATTGTATTATGACAAGGGGAACACCCCCCTCCCCCCCTCCCCGCCAGGACACACTGATCGGCACTTGCAGCTGGCTGTCAGCACTGCTTAGATGCTGGTTTTCCAGCATGCCTGTTCGACTGAAGCCGATCGAGGAGCAGTACTCACGGGTTGAAAGTCAGCCAGTTCCAGCCGAACCAACCGTTTTTGGACAGTTTTCTGCTTGTGTGTATTCTTCCTTCACAGGCAGACTGCTTTAACTTCCCATCCAGCCCATGTATATAAATGGCTGGACGGGAGCAGTGCAGGAGGGGGTTGCTGCTCATAAACGACGCCCTCCATTTTAGCCTATGCGTGCTCCCTGGGACACAGTGGAACACCAATCGCTGTACGGACCTCTGTGTGAGGTCCCGATCATGTGATTACTGATTGGCTAATCAGTGATTACATGAATAGTAGTAAGCAATATGTCACTTCCTGACATCATTGCTTACTACTAGTGAAATCTGTGAATGATCACAGAGGTCACATGGTACAAGGCTATTCACAACCGCCTTGTACTATGTGACAAGCTGTGACCAGTCACAGCTCCCGCAGTATTTCACAATGGCTGCAAGAATGCAGCCAGAGAGAAATCGAAATGATTGCTTTTACAGCCTTTATGGGTGTAAAAGCAATCAGTGTAAAAAAAAAAAAATCTTCATCACCCCCACAAGTAGTACAGTGTCACTATGAATAATAATATAAAAAATGTAAAAACATTTTGAAAATTTTAAATGTTTGGTTACAAACTAATTGGGTTATTTTTTTTTTTACTAAAAAGATAACTAAATACATTTTGGCCAAGATTTATGAAAATATTTGGACTTTTGAATAAATACCACCAAAATAAATTTTTATCTGTTTCAAAAGAATACTAAAAAATTCATATGGGTACAGTCTTGTATGACCGCACAATTGTCATTCAAAGTGTGACAGCACTGAAAGCTGAAAATTGTCCTGGATAGGAAGGGGGTAAAAGTGTCCGGACTTGAAGTGTTTAAAGCTGAATTCGGAGCAAGAAATATTTATTCCGCAATAGCCACAAAGGCTAATAATCAGCATTGTGTGCACCAAATGCATCTCCAAACCCTTGTGAGCGGAGGTGACACAGTCACTGTACTACACATACTCCATGCAGAAAACAGAGCTGTGGGAGGGGCCCAGGAGTCCAGCTCCCTACAAGCTGCCTGCATAAAACTACAGGAGGGGGCGAATACAAGACCAGTCATCCTGCACAGGGAGAGAGAGCAGAACTGACTGGTCATTATTACAAGTTTTACACTGAATTACTGCACAATTCTAGAAGAAATACACAAAGCACACAGAGATTTAAGGATTCACATGCTTCTTGTATTTAGATAATATTTGCTTATGCTGGAGTACACCTTTAATGGCTAAGTTCACCTTTAGAACATGTTACATGTTATACATGTATTTAGGGTAATATGTAACATGTTCCAGCAAGCCCTTCCTTCCCCATAACAGTAGGTGGGGATCTTCTCCCCCGCAGTTGCAGTCACATTTAATATTGGCGCAGCTGTGCAGGCAGGTTGGAAGATATCTGTGAATGAATAAACAACAAATCCCGTCTGCCACCGCGGCAGATAGCTTGTAGTTCTCAATGGACTATGAGTGTCCTGATCATTGCAATCGTAGTCCATTCACTCTTCCCCCAGCCCCCTAGCTGAAAGTCCATACAGAGCTACTGTGTGCCAGAGCCTGACATTGCACTCTCATTTCACTGATCGCAGGTGCAATGCTTTGCAGGCTTCTGTCAGAAAAATAAATGCACGTTTCTTCTGCAAAAAAATATGTGTTTATTCATTTTTCCTAAAGGGTGAACTTTGCCTTAAAAAAAAAAAAAAGATTTTTTTTCTGAACTTTACAGTAAATTTACCCTAAATACAGTAGATGATATTATATGACGCTTGATCATTCTTTTAGGCTCTGCTATGAACACTGAGTTCAGTTATATTCTAACTGACCTATTCTATGCATTATTGTATGTGTGTGTATATATATATATATACATATACACACACAGCGGTGTATTTAAGTTTCATGCTGCCCTAGGCAACACAAAAATTGGTGGCCACCCCCCTTCCCCGCGGAGAGAGTTTGACACCAACCAACACCCCCCCCCTCGCCCGTGGAGAGACACTGACATTGACCAACAACAATCCTGTCCCCTCACCCAAAAGAGCCTTCCACTATCATTGCCCCACATATACCAGACCCCCTGGCAAGAGACAGAAGACACTCAATTCCACAGCTCTGGACATTCCCGGGAATGAGAGTCAGGCTCTACATACACCATCAAGCAGTCCGCAGTGTCTCTCGGTTCCCACCTGGTCCCCATGCCACATGTGTCCCTTCTTTCATCTTTTCTTCCAGGGGCCGGTGTTGCCCCCCCTGAAAAATGCAGCCCTAGGCAAATGCCTTGTTTGCCTTGTGGTATATATGCCCCTGTATGTATATATATATATATATATATATATACATATACATATACACACACACACTGTATACACACACAACTTACTATACATAATAACACAAGAAAAAAAAACATATACAATGTACTGGGAAAAGCTACCTTCTCCATGTCATCCCAGTTTGTGATGATGCCGTGTTCAATGGGGTATTTCAGTGTGAGGATACCTCTTTTGCTCTGAGCTTCATCACCTACATAGCTGTCCTTCTGACCCATACCCACCATCACACCCTGGAGAGAGACAAGAACAATGTGTTAGTGTAAATGGCAAAATATAGTAAACAGATTTATACTGTGGTAATACAGTGTGTGACAGGTATAACATCACAGAATGGTATTGCTGGGATATCAGTTGAACTCCAATTTTAATGATTATGTAACTTCTCTAATGTAGCATTATAGTTTACAATGCAGATATGCATATGGTTTAAATGTATGCAGTCCCAATATATATTAACTACATGTAATCTATTTTACTTATAAAAATGACATATAAAATAATGTTTATAATTGTGCATACCCACCCAAAAAATAATAAACAATTGGGGAACTTTATATGAATTGCTAGAGGGGTTTCACTGAAGTATTTTATGTCCATTTTGGCTGGGCAGTAAGGCACAAAGCACACCATTAGAGTCAGCCACTGAAATAATGATTATTTAGCTTAATAAATCATATATTTCTGTATATAATTTGTAATTTGTGAGCAGCTACATTGGCTGATTCCATATATGCAGTAGTTATCTACTTCTTTGATGTGCTTTGGTGTCCGTTTATGACACAGAGAATAGCTGCGATTCAACAGATCTCAGCTATTCTCTGGTCATTCACAGTTTATGACACTCAGGAGAACATGTTCAGCCCTTCACTGGAGATCTGTGTTCTCCCTCCAGATTCTCCAGCCCAGAGCTGGAGAATCAGAGGGACCGAAAACTAAGCAGAGATAATTTACCTCTGCTTAGTAAACTGATCTTTTACTATAATCTCGCGAGATTATAGTAAAATCAGCCGTTTTCCAGAGTTTGTAGACCGTTCTCCAGCGTTTGGAGATCGTTCTCCCTTCGTTCAGAGAACTGCTTCATAAACTGCATTCACAGGAGAACTGTGTTCTCCGAGAATGCCGGAGAACTGAGCAGCGATCTATTACCGCTGGTTCATAAACGGACACCTTTGCTGGTTCTCTAATCTAAGGTCTCTATGGCTGCAAATGACAGCAGTCTCTAATGACAGGAAACCTCCACAATGCTCCTGCTGGCCAAAGCCCATGTGAAGTTCATCTAGCTTTTACAAGGTGAAGCACAAGAATAAGGCTGACCAACATAATCATTCCAGCACCGATTAATGAATCTCCCACTGAGACTAGTATATGGCCAGTTTAATCTTTTTTATTGTTTAGCTCCTTTTACGTGAAGCAAAGACAATGATGTGATTTCATCAAAGCATACCATCTGTTGGTTTATGTGCATTGTGAATTTAACTGGAATAATTAAAGACCAACTCCACTTAAAACTGATAATTCAATGTGATGTGGTTTCTGACAAATTAGATCATGTCCCAACTGCTTATAATTCTCAAATACTTGAGTGGCAACTACAGTTGATCTGACCTGATGCCTGGGGCGACCCACGATGGAAGGGAATACTGCTCTTGGAGCATCGTCCCCAGCGAAGCCTGCCTTACACAGTCCAGAACCATTGTCGCATACCAATGCAGTAGTGTCTTCCTCGTCGCACATCTTTCTTTCAACTTACTCAAACCTCTCAAACAATAAACCTGCAGAGGAAGCAGAATGAGATATTTGACTTTATTTAGACAAATGACTTCTATAGCATTAGATTATTTTGAGAGGAACTACAGATCCCAGCATGATGCAACATTGGATGCCTGGCAGTGTGTTGTCTAAGCCATTCTTTGACACCTTACTAATGATAAGGTAGTAATTGCACTTGTGGTGAAACTTCAGGATATGGCATTGAAATATCAGCTTCCATCTACGATTACTTACACAGGTATGCGGCTCCATGACAAAAACCTGTACTGAAAGAAATATGGGGTTGCCAGTGCTGACTATCTTCTGAAAATGCTAGCTAACTGGCTTGCATGCTGATCCACTGGCTTTAATATCCTGAAGAATTATGCAACTGAGAAGATCTGTAGAAATTCTTCTCTGCGTATCTGTTTTGGAGTAGTGATTCAAGTACTGAAACCAGGGGATCAGCAGGACTACAGCCAGACAAATAGGATTTTCAGAATGAGCTCAGGCAGTAGCACATTCCTTGTTTCTCTTAAGACTTCCCTACCCTAATCAGTCAAAAATGAATTGCTACATTCTCTGAATATTTTCCATATTCAATAAAGGCTTGGATCTGATATCTGATCATACTTCAATGCTGAAAGGGAAAATGGGGTTATTTGTTAAAAAAAAAAAAAAGTACAGTGGGTGTAATCATAGGAATTGTTAAAGCTGAGATTTTACCTGTCTATATTTCTCCCCCTCCCTCAACATGTGAATTATACAGTTACATAAAATCTGTCTGCTTTCTATGTATTTAGAGCCAGTAATGCTGCCACTGGGTCTCTATGCTGCTCTATGCAATGCAGGGAACTCATGGCTGGTGGGAGGGGCTGTATATAGCTTCCAAAACCACAAACTAGGTAAAACCCACATATGGCAATAAGCCTCCAGGAATGACATCCATCGTATGAAAGGGGCAAGCCAGGGATGGGTCAGCTAGGGAGGAAAGGGCTAGATGAGGCTGGTTAAGGCTGGATGCCCTCCAGCAGGCAATGAGGAAGGCTTTATTTGACTTGCTGCAGATTCTAATGCACACTGAAAAGCTCACAGTGTTCAGTGAAATCAAAGTAAGCAGGTCAGTACATAAGAGGAGCCTGTACAGCTGTGCAAGACTAAGGTAGGGCTGGAAATCAGCTTTAAAGACACACTTTGGGATATGCAAATAATGTCTGAATACATGAGGTCTGTGCATTCTTACATGAATCTTGGAGTGCTTTGTGTATGTTTTCCAGATCTGTGCAGTAATCCAATATAAAGTTTGCCTTGGTGCAGGAGCTTCCTGTAATAAAGACCTGCCACTGCTGCCCTCTATCCTTCTACAGGATGACTGGTCTTGTATCCACCCCCTTCATAATACCTTTAGCCAACCAGCCAGTGGTGGATGAACCTGGTGGACTCCTTCCACATTTCTGTTCTCTGCACAGGGTATTTGCAGCGCAATGATGACGTCACTACTTTTACAAGGTAAGTTCTCTATGCACAAGGGTATTTGCAGCGCAATGCTGACGTCACTACTTTTAACAAGGTAATATCTAAGTTTGCAAAGTCATTTGGTGCAAACAAAATTAATGTATACCCTTTGTGTCTATTAAAAACATATTAAAAGGAAATGTTGGTAATAAAAGCATATGATATTCTCTATAGAATAGGCCAGTGAGATTTCACCTACTTGCTGACCCCCCCCCCCCCCCCCCTTGGCAATGCTTATTCTTAAACTGCTTATACATATTAAAGTTTTACTGTACAAGTTCTGTACAAAAATGTACCTTTTTTACCAACAATGTAGTGCAAGGCCCTGCCTGACTGGATACAAATTGAAAGTGTTTTTTTTAGGTTTGACCTCATATTATATGATTCTTGGTAAATCTGAAGGAAAATTGTATAATACGATTGTATAATGTATGGTCACAGTACAATCTAGTCACTAAATGACATATCTACACTCTGTGCAGGCTTACAGATGCGTTCAGATGATGTCATTTTAGCTATTTAATATTTAAGTGACACCATTTGACTTTTGTCAGCAAAACATACTATAAATGGTCCGTTCCTTATTGTATAATGAGGAGCCCGTACATGATCATAAAACGATTTCCCAGAAAGAAAATCTTGTTGGCAGAACGCGCTGCGCTGGGTCTGTGTGTGTATAGAGGCTGCAGTCTTCCTGGTGATCCCGGATGAATGAAGTGGCTGGCTCAGTACAAGCCATTTCCTAATTAGGAAATAGTCTGTCAAATGTCTGTTTTGGGAGCAGAATTCCAGGTCAGGGGGTTTTGTTCCTCCAAACACGCATCCAAAGCTCACTGCCAGCCAGAAAAAAAAAAATGACTGGGGAGGGGCTGAGACAAATTTATAAATATATTTAATGAGCTCTCTCAGGCACAAAGCAGATTCAGATCAGCAAACACAGAAGTTCTGCAGTCATATAAAAACACAGCTGTTTGATTGCATGCACCTTGTATCACTTAGCCAGAACACTGCAGAAAATGTCATTCATCAGGTTACACACCATAGACCAGCCAATCTCAACCAGGGTTCCTCCAGAGTTTGCTAGGGGTTCCTTGAGCTGTGACCTCCTATTTGATGGTGCCCGCATAGTTCTGAGGCCAATGCCACTTGGTAGAGTCAATTCCAGGACACCAATGATCTGTCTATATAGGTGGCATTCTGACCACCATGGTGAGAGGGGCATTCTACCCACTGACCGACAAGGTAAGGAGGCATTCTTCTACCAGACCACTAATGTAAGAGGCATTCTTCCCTCTGACCACCAATGTATGGGGACATTCTTTCCACTCACCACCAATGTAAGGGGAGGCGTTCTTCCCACTGGCCACCAATGTATGGGGGCAGTCTTCCCATTGGCCACCACTATAAGGGGACATTCTTTCCCACTGACCAACACTATAAGGGGGCATTATTTCCACTATCTACCACTATAAAGGGGCATGTTTCCCACTGACTACCAATTTATGGGGTCAGTCTTCCCACTGACCACCAATTTATGGGGTCAGTCTTCCCACTGACCACCAATGTATGGGGGCATTCTTCCCACTGACCACCAATGTATGGGGTCAGTCTTCCCACTGACCACCAATTTATGGGGTCAGTCTTCCCACTGACCACCAATTTAAGGGGTCATTCTTCCCACTGACCACCAATTTATGGGGTCAGTCTTCCCACTGACCACCAATTTATGGGGTCAGTCTTCCCACTGACCACCAATGTAAGGGACATTCTTCCCACTGACCACCAATGTAATGGGGGCATTCTTCCCAATGACCACCAATGTAATGGGGGTATTCTTCCCACTGACCACCAATGT